GGGGGGGGTCGAGCCGTGTCGCTCACGAAAAGCCTAGTTGTTTTTCCCTGTTGACTTCGGTGGCGATTGGCCATTCTCCTTACATACCCCCCCATTACCTGCCCAGATGATTAGGAAGGGTGGGCAGTGAATTGCTGGGGTGCTGCTGCTTCCTGCTACGGAATTGGTAACAATTACAGCCTTGTATTGCTGCTGTGTGGCGAATAGTTGAGGCAGTGAATTTTGCTGGAGTGCTCTACTGCTTGTTGCTTGGAGGCAACAATTACAGCCCTGTTTTGCTGTGTATGGCGAATAAGTGAGGGTGTACTGGTCGGTGTTTTGTGTGCCCATCTGAAGGAAGGAGCGCATGTCCTACCCCTGCGATTTGGGGTTCCCCATGCCTCGTCGGAGGTCCTTGACCCCGATCTTTGGTGTTTTGATACATGCATTGTTGGGTTTTGTCGGTTATTGTATAGATTCTGCTTGGCTAGGAAAGATTAGGCAAGGAGGCACTTGCAGGTTCTTCTGCTTGATGGCTCCACAGCAGGGAAGGCAAGACCATACATGTGCATACGCTAGGTTAGTGAATGAACTAGCGGTAGTTACTACGTGGTTCTCTTGTTGAGCATGTTATGAGATGAAGCAAGCACGCGCTTTGGGCTGATGCTTCTCACGATCATTTAAGAGAAAGGCTCGAGTAACCTTGAACATGCGGAGCGTTTAATGTCGCCTTTCGGCTCATCTAGGTGCCACGCGGATATATATTGGCAGGGGTGGGGGGAGTCCATACGTTTCGTTTGGCGCGTTCGCGTGGGATTTGATTAATGGTACATACTTTGTGTTGAAAATCTGCGCTAGCTAACCGGCGGCGTTGCGTTGCACCGCCGTAGCGACACGGGCGTAAGTATGCAAAACTGCTGTATGTTGCGGTCCAACCGGAGGCACAAGCGAGAGGGAGCGGAAGAGAGACCTCCAAAACTTTTTAAATCCCCACTCCGCCTACTTAGGCGTCAGTCAACCGATCGGTTTGATTCTACCCATGCATGACGATTTGAGGCACCTTCTCAAAAGGTTCTTCGTCTGGGTGTAGATACCATCTGAAAGCCCGCTCCCCCTTCTTTGTGATTGCCCACCGCCGAGAGAGAGCACGGGGTGGGGCAACAAAATCCCCCAAGACTCTAAGCGGGCTCCGAATAACGATGCCCATTAGCTCTTTCAAGATCAAGTAGTCCTCAACTTGGGCGTTGCAACTAATTCCCGTTCGTGATGCATCCATGGCGTCATGGGAAAGTGGCCGATTCAATGTCTTCGGCGCCTGAAACACGCGCACGTATATATGTATGTGTAGTTTCAAGCGCACAGTACGCCTTGTTCGAGCCACCCTGACCACCGGATGGGCCCGAACCAATTTTCGTTCGTGTGGCCTCCTCCCAGTTCTGGCTGGCTGCCACTCCTCCACTAATACCTGCTCCACCACCTGTCTCACCCACCCCACCAGCCAGCCAGGTAGCCACCACACCACAGTCACTTCCTCTTCTCGTTCTCAAGCTTAGTCGGCCGGGTTCGCTTTGCTACCCGCGGTAAAATCGTGTCACTCTCGGTTCTTTCGCAACGTGAGTGGGCATCGACATAGATAATTGCTCCTCTGGAGGGTTGGAGTAAACACCGGAAGCATGTGGAGTGTGCACGGAGGGAGGTTTACACACAAAAACGGAAAAAACTCGGATAGTCTGACTCATTTCAGGTCACCCCCGCCCCTCCCCCGCCCCACCCTATCATGGGTGTTTACCAACTCCTCTTGTCGGGAAGAGAAAGGGTCCTCAAGCGTTCGAAGTCTCCTCCTGTTATTGGGAAGCGAACGCGTCATCGAGCGTTAGAAGCCCATCTGAAGCTTAAAAGTCGGTCGAACTCGAGCGAGGTGGACCCAAGCAAGCTTCCCGACAGGTTTCGAGAGCACGCGTTCGTTCGTTCGTCCCCTGCCTTCGGCGGTGATCTACGGTCTGTTGCTGCTGCAGCAGCAGCAGCTCGAGCAGGAAGCATGTGTGCTGCGCGACTGCCGGCATGTCGTCGACAACGAGCACCTTTGTTTTTACCGTCAAGAACAGGAGAATAAGAAACGCCAGCCCAGCCAGGCATTACATATCAACACAAGAAAACTCAAGTATAGCAAAGGATGAGATACAAAGAGAGGAGCATGCCGAACAGGGCGTGGGGAACATAATTTGTCTACATAGGCAAAGTCAAAACCACGAAAGATATGTTTTCACTACTGTAGTACGACCCAGTTCGAGCATAGGCAAGCACAACGGTACAATAGCACAAAAAAAAAACAGAAAAGAAAAACCTATCAACGCATGTCGTCCGACCCGAAAAAAATCTCGATCACAAAAAACAAGCTCGGTTCCCTCTCCCACTCTTCTCTCCCTCTCTCTCAACCTCCTCATTCTTGTACTGCCCCTCGTGAATCTGCAGAAGAAGAATCCACATGCGATTGCACACGCCGCAACCACCGCCTTGGGTCTGGATGGTGCAACTCGAGCCGTGGGTCAAGAGTTTGTTGTGTAGAAAAAGACACATCATCAGAACATACATGCGCTGACGAAACGATTGGTGTGTGATGTTCAAGAAGTGAGTTATTCGTAGTCTTACACCCACAAGAAAAGTCATGCGAGCTACAGGTTCATAGTCATGTCGACTTCATCCGGAAGCAGTTGTTCGACTGGCAGTTTCGGTCCTCCCACGCCCATGCGTGCTGCAACAGCTGCATGAATGTGCAGCTTGATACGTCCCTTCCGCTCCTCGCGCTGGGCGGGGCTGAGGTGATGCCGAACGCGCCCGGATAAACTTGAGCGGCCGGGGGTGCGATACTAACGGCGTTGGCCGCAGTAGAATGAGGAAGGGCCAACGGAGTGCATGAAAGTATGAGCATATGTACAAACAGAGCTATGTACCGACGATGATGCTCAGCACAGCTTAGTACAGCTCAGCAAAGCATGGTCTATTCGCATGAGGGGGTTGTCCCAAGATATGACACCAAGATAATAAGTTGAACAGGTCGTGCGGGTTGGAACAAGACAGCACGGTGCCACCCTCCGTGCAAGGCTCACCATTCTCCTGCCCCCTATTAGCTTGACTCACCCTGCTTTGTTATCGAACGAGTGCTTGCTGTCGTCTGGGCAGCAATCGGAGCTGGAAGTGATTGCCTTGGTATCGTGTTGTCTTCTCCAGCACCTGGAAATACATGTAGAAGACGATTTCAAATTATTGATTACACTAGTCAACCGCTGACTTGACTACATACAGCAGTTCAAAGGTTTGATGCCGGCTTCTAATGTTTTGTGTGGGTTCTTGTGTTCAATAGACTAGACACCAACAACGATGACCGCTGGATTGCCCAATTGCCACGACCCAATCAAACTACCCTAAGTGATGAGTCAACCAAGACCGACAACATCGATCAGAGGAGGAATACCTATGGATTGAGTGGGGAATTCTCTCTCTTTGATGACTTGTGTTTTGCTGCCTTAGACAACAACATGAATCGTCGCTCGCAGGTTTACCTGTCTGTGCCCTACGATGTCTCCACCGTAAATTAATGCGTCTTGCGGAAAAGGCGACCGCGGCGGTACACAACTACAAAACTGCTGCTGCTAGGCTAAATCTGTATAGACAGAACGCACATGTAACAGTTAGTTGACCGAGGACTACTCTTTGAGAAGCGTCTTTGCGGGAGTTGGAAATCCTCAAGGTTGATTTAAGACACCAGCCGGAGGTGCGCGGCACAAGGGTGGTGCGTATCTCCCTCTTTCTCTGCTGTTCAACCTCGGGTGCAAGATCTCCTGTCGTCTGTTCAGGCTTCTGTGTCGAATGGTATGGAGAGATAACTCTGATGTCGGTCAACGACAAACGCTCCTTTTGGGAGGACAACCTCCGTCGATAGATGATGCACACATGGTCTATAGAAACGGATAGCTGGAACGATAATGTTGGCACGTCTGGTACCGCACGTGTTGATCGGGGTCTATCGCCCTTCATGTGTACAGCAGTAGGACGCCCATCGTACATATGAGTATTGCCGGCAAACATGGTGGACAGTGTTGTGTGCTCGCAAGTCATGAAGCGGCAACGGTGAAAGGAAGACAGCAGTACTGCTGCTGTAGTAGGAGGATGATGGACTCAAGTGATTCAACTGGTGTGGATGTGGCACTTGTACATTCACTACGAGACTGTCACACATTCTTGCTGTTTTGCTGCCGCGCTGCGGCGTACCTGTGGAAACACCAGCAAGGGACGAAAATCCGGTCAGCTCAAGGTGTGAAGCAAGTTGAAACGGTGTGATTTCGTCGCAGTCTTGAACCACGTAGCCGTACGGCCTAACGGGGGTGAACGGGAGGCCGTGGGTTGGGCTAGGATTGCTGGATTCTGGAGATTTCACGTTTCGCGTCTCAGGAACGGTCTGGAGAACAGCGACGCGGCGCAAAAAAACATGCGACACGCGACACATGACACATGACACATGGCGACATGGCTGTTGCGCCGCTGTGGCACACCACACGTTTGTCGTTTGTCCCAGGGTCCCACCCATACCTGACCCATTAGAGAGCAAGCAAAGGGCGGAAGCAGCAAAGAAGGAGAGCGGGTGGCGACAGACAGTCGAATAGGAAGGAAGTGGGAGGATAGGCTGCAGAAGGGGCGTCGACATCGCTAGTTTTCTTGTAGCGGGATGGCGCAGACAAGGCAGCCAGAAGAGGCTCAAGAAGGAGCTGCGGACATTAACGGGCGGATTGAGCACCACAGCCCCAATTACACCAGCCGGACGCAAGGCGGCGGGGTGGAACCAAGAGGGATATCCCACCTGTGGATGGATACAGGTTCGGGAAGCAGACAAGAGGGCGGGGGAGAAGAAGGCCGACAGAATCGACGGGACTCATAATATTTGTCGGAGCAACAACGAAACAGTTTTTGCAGAGCGGAGGAGCGCAAACCCACGGTCTCACGCCCCGGCCCGCCCTCATGCCATGGCCCGGAGACGCAGCCCCGCAGCATGCATCCCGACTCCCCTCCCCCCAGACTCCCGGGCTCGCCTTTCGGACACTCCGACCCAGTCACCCACCAGCATCAAGAATCTGGGACCTCCTCACACGGCAGGAAGCGGCCCCTACATCAGGGTGGCGGGAACGAGCCGCGGGTGGGGCAACGCACTGCACCGTCGGTGGGGAGGGGAGACCCTGCAGCGGTGGGGGGCGGGCGTGAAGGTGAGTGGCAGCAGCAAGAAGAACGGCCGCCCACACTGCCACGGCCGCATGACAGCGTAGGGCCGGGCAACATGCCGCAGCGTGGACCAGGAGAAGAGCGCTGGAGCTTCGGTGGGAGCGGAGGGCAAATACATGACCCGCGGCAGCAGCGGCAGCCAGCCTACCAGCAGCAGCAGCAGCAGCAAGAGCAGCGGCAGCAGCAGCAGCAGCAAAACACCGGGATCCCTCCGACGGCACCACCACAACAACGCGACCGAATTGGCGGGGTGGCGGGAGCACTACTGCTATTTAGAAGTAGAAGAGCAGGCAACCACGCGGGTCGTCCCCGCCCAGGGAGGCAGAGAAGGCGTACAGCGGAGGGGGGCGGCCGGTTAAGATCTGGACGATCCCGCGGGGGGATGGGGCCCGCTGCCCTTCACCGAAACCGACCTGCACGTGGTCGCGCCGAAATGGCGACTCGGAGGAAGCGCAGCGGCGCAGATGTACGCGATGGGGGTTTTGACGTCCGATGCTTGTCGAGCCGGGGCTGTGAGGACGCGGTCGGAGGGCAGCAGCAAGTGGTGCTGGATATGGACCGCCGAGTCGACATCTTGTTTGACGTTTGACGTAGTGGAGCGCCTGGGCAAGTTCACTGTGCAGAACGATGTGGCAAAGCACCGGTTTTTGGTGTGGGAGGGTGAGACGCGGGCGTCGGCCGAGCGGATCAGGGCCTTTTTTTACGGCGCACCCGTTGCTGGCTCGAAGCGACCGGTTCAAGGGCGCCTTCGCGACCGCGTTCAACCGGGACTTGGAGGAGTGTGCCCTCGGCGTGGCGGAGAGGGCCTTCGAGAGCGCGCCGCGGTCGGGGAGAATCCCTTCGGCGAAGGCGGGCGACCTCCCCCCCATTCCGCCGATAGAGCTCGACATGACAAGGACGCTGTTCACATCGGTGCCGTTGATGGGATTCTTGGGCAACAGCGACGACGACGACGACGTCCCGCAGGGCATGGGAGGGGGCGGGGCCAGCGGCTGCTCTTACCAGTAACACCGGCAATGGCGCTGGGGGGAAGGGGCGGGGGCATCGGCGACCGGCGGCGGCGCGGGGGGGTGAGGGTGGCGGCGCCGGGATCACCCGTATGACGATGATAGCCCCCGCGACGGAGAGGAAGGACGCGGAGTGCCACGCCTTCAAGGAGAGCCAGGTGTGCACGCACGCCGCAAGGACGAGGGTCGAGTGTATGTACCAACATCCGGGAGGGGTGAGCCACGAAAGGGTGGTTGTCCACGCCAAGGCGGGCCAGAAGCGGAAGAGGGGGTAGGGGGGTAGGGGAGGGGCTCCGTGAGGAGGCGGAGACAACCGTACAGGGGAGGGGTAATAACGGGAGGAGCGCATAGATTGGCAGACAACTGTATGCACGATATAAGTAGAAGTCGAGAGACGGCGCTTGGAGAAGGAGACTGGGCTGGTGCCGGGGTGGGCGGTGGCGACAATCAAAACGTACGCACGGCGACGATGACGACGCGTGGAGATATATAGAGTAAACCGGCCAATTAACGAACGCTTAAGCCACCCCTCGCGCCAACAGCTCGTTCTCGGGCATGAAGAGGAGTATGATGTATTTGTGGGTACCGGACGATAGCTTGTATTATAGGCTACCTCCCAAAAAAAAAAAAAAAAATCGTTCGTGTCAACGAGATAGAGCTGATGCAGTGCATTCCATTGTTTAGCTGAAAATGCAGGAAAAACCCCCCCCCCCAATTAACGAACACTTTAGCTTTGTAGCTGCTTTCGTGCGTTCTGAAGCGTTTCATGATCTGATTTTTTGTGGAGATACGTCTGTCGCAACATATATCCGTTTAGGAAAAAAAAAAATGGAATCGATCCACGCCCGGGGACAAAATCCTCACATCCCCGGGTTTTCCGCCTGAAATCGGGGACGGATTTTACCCCATTTTTGACCGTACGGCGGTGCTGCACACATGAAAAGAGCCAAAACTAAGAGATTATTGCACAGTGGGTCTAATCTGATCATATACAGACTCAAGAAAAAAAAATTAGGACGAAAAACTTCGCGCATGTGATGTAATGCCCGTTCAAACAGGCACCCCTTGACCCGGCCGCTACCGCTATAATTCTCCGCAAGAACCCCAAGGCCATTTCCCTTTTTTCACAGTCATCTTACATTCCCACAAGACGCCCTTTGGTGTGTAGGTTTGTTTTATCACAAGAAACGCTGTTGAAAAAAAAAAAAAAAATCATGCATGCCCGGGGACAAAATTACCATATCCCCGGGTTTCCCGGTATCAACCCCCCCGCCCCCCCCGCGCTGCTGGGGTGCACCCTAACCATCTCCACATGCCCCCACAAACCACCTAATCTTCTGCTTTACTCGTATAGTCTAATTCATCCACCGCCTAGACAATAGTAGCCCAGAAAAACAACAACAACCGCAAAGCATCTGCCCTGGTCTAAACATCAACGATTGGTGTCGGGATCCGCTGCCGTCCTCGGGAAGAAATGGGAGCCGCCGACGGCGGCGGGTGAACCAAGGGAACCGCCGCCCCTCTCGGCCGTCCCGCTCCTCCTTGGACGGGAGCACCTCTCCCCTCGTCCCCCCCCCGCCCTCCCGCCCCCATTTGCTCTCCACGAGCACCAGTGGTGCGGTCCTGGCCACCCTGTCCTCTGCCACGCCCCTCTCGCCCACCGCCACCGCGCCCCCTGATCGCCGTCCGCGTCCCGCTTAGCTCAACCCTCACGCTCCTCTCTCCCCGCCCTCCGTCCTGTTCCCCGCCCCGTCCTTCGCCACGCCCCCCGCTCCGCCCTCCACCTCTCCCACCCTCGCGCCCTCCACCTCTCCCCCCCTCTCGCCCGCCGCCCCGCCCGCCGCCCCGCCCGCCGCCCCGCCCGCCGCCCTGCCCGCCGCCCCGCCCACCAACTGCTCCAGATTGTTGGTTGGCCTCCTTCGTTGCCCTTGCCTCCGCGCGTGCCGCCTTTGCTTCCTCAGCTGCCTGCTTCGCTTCTTGGTCCTTCTTGGCCTGAGCAAGATGTTCTTCGGCGGACAGCAGACCACCTTCGGGCTTCCCCCCCCCCGCCCGAACGGTCGCGAAAGCCTTGGTGCGCTTGGTGAGGCGGGTGAGCCCGCCAAGGAACACGGTGTTGACACGGAGCCCCTCGATCATCAGCCCGTGTCTTTTCAGCTCCAGGAGGGCAGCGCGGCCGAGGTCTCGCTCGAGTTGATCCTTAGAGGCAACCACGGCGAGGTCTTCACGAATAGGGCGGTCATGGTCCCGTTGCTTCCTCTTGCTGTGTAGTCTGTTGATAGCTTTCTCCATGCTCACCGGCCACAAGCCCGACCCTTTGAACGCCGCCTTGTTGTTCTCAGGCGTGAAGCTCCCTGCCCATGCCTCCGCAATCACGCCAGCCATGTCGCGCTTCACCGGACTCCTCCCCCCGTTCTTTAGCGGGTAGGCCGTGAGCACCTTGGTGATCTCCATCTTGAAGGTTCCGAACGTACCGACGTCCAAGGGCTGGGTGATGTGCGATGTGTGGGATGGAAGCTGGAATAGGTCCATGTCCAGGGAGATGCCCAAGCTGATGGCGTCGAAGGTCGTGTGTGAGGCGTGGCCGTCGAGCACAAGGGCAGCTTTGCCCAGCAAGCCGCGCGCATCGAGCTGCTTGCGGAGGTCTCGAAGGTAGTCCAGGAAGACGTGGCTCTGGATGAAGGATGACTCCGTGACGGTGTACTTCGCATCGGGGACGCCGTTGTTGTCCTGGATCCAAGCGGGTTGCATACGCTGGCCTTTGAAGATGATGGTAGGGTGGAACGTGTGGCCGTCGGCACCGATGGTGGCGACCACCGTCGTATTTTCTCGCGAATTGGAACGCCTCGCGCCGGGTACCTTGGTGCCTCTTGCGACGATTGCCTTCCCCGACTTTGTACCTTGAGGGGTCGAACCTACAACACGCGCGCATCGGGGGTAAAGACAGTTGAACAATCAGTAAACTAGACACACAAAAAACGCGCGTACAAACACACATGGGTGCTGCTCGCTCCGGGTGGTGGCACACAGCAGTGGTGAAGGCCATTTTTTGTGCGGCAAGTGTCGGATTCGTTTAAACTTTGGGTGCGAAACAATAACCCCACACCCATGGCAGTTTGCATTGAGCTCCAAACGTAGGTGGGTTTACAAAAACAAAGCGTTCTACTGAAGTCTCGACGTGACTAGACTAGTCTGCACTTCGCGCGTCGTTCAGCAACACACATGCATTTTGCAGACCAAGAACACACGCCCGCTGTTGCCGGTAGCATCACAACAGAAAACGATGTACACATGCAATCATGCGGCAGAGTGCAACTGAGATGACCACAGGGACTGTTACATGCTAACCTCAGCCGACTCCAGCAGCAAACATGCGGGCGTGTTGTGTGCTACGCGCATGACAAGCAGCAACGGCTCGGAAGATATGCGGGACAACTGCTGGATCTTTTTTTTTTGCAGCAGCAGAACTCCGCGTTGTTGTGACACATCGCAGTGCTGCTGGTACTTCGCCTACGAACCCACAGCAGTCGATACTGACACCGCTGACACCCAATGACACCTACTGACACCTCAACCCTTGCCCTAACTCACTTGTCTCATCCGTGTTGAGGATGCGTTCCGGCGGGAGCTTGGTCTCCTCCAGGTACTCCGCCCATGCTTTGTAGAAAGCTTGAAGGCGAGGCTCGCCGTCTTCGTTAATCCGGTTTGCTTCGTAGATGTGGGTGGCTCGCTCCGACAAACCCGGGTGTCTCGCCATAAACCCCTCAAGCCAGCTGTCCCCAGGGCCCTTGTCTGGGTCCCAGGGCACCTTGCGCCCGTCGGTGCAGATGTTGCGCACAGCGTCTCTCAGCTCCCTCCGACCCAACAGCAAGAAGTGTCGGGAGGCGTAGATCAAGACGTCTTCTACGAAATCTTCCTCCTCCTTGCTCAGGACAGTCCCGGGACCAACCCTCGCATCTATGGCCACCTTGTTCTTCACACGGTCGTGCAGCGAGGCTAGCGGTAACCCGTAGGTCCTCGCAGCAACGCGGAGCGACATCTCACCGCTGCGTACCGCATCTACAGCCTTCTGGGCCTGCTCTGGGTCTACTCTCTTACGTCCCATGCTTAGCAGCAGGACCCCGAAAAGGGCAAAGATGCCCCACATAAGGGGTGTGGGTGAGGGCTGTGCTGTATCTCGGGAGTGCTTGACCCGATCGACACGCGGAGGTGCTCAAACGAAAGCTAACCATAACGGAAAGCTGAAGATTTCAAAAAAAAAATTGGGGGGCTCCGCGCATTGTGCGCCGAGGGACGTGCATTTGAAAAAAGTGTTCGTTAAAGGGGGGGTGTTCGTTAATACCCTGGTTTACTCTATAAAAGCAAGATAGCAGTGGCCAAACGATGGAGAAGGGTGCATCGGGTTGGTCCCCGGCAGAAAGAGAGACTGGTGCTGTTGGCGAAAGCGGTGACGCTGTAGTTCGTTTCCGTGACCATCAGCGGTCGCCCCCCCCCCCCCCCCCCCCCCCCCCCCCCCCCCCCCCCCCCCCCCCCCCCCCCCCNCCGTTCTCGTGTTCGGATGCGTTCCACCTATTGGGACTGCTATATGCGTTCTGCCGACGGGAAAAATTACACCAGGTGCCCAAACAGATTCTGCAAAAGCTACGCACGCACTTGGATCAAGATTAAAAATGGTTTGTTAGGGAAGGTCATGAAGGGCGTCGGGGTGTGGGTGGGCTTGAGGAAGGCGGTAGACAAGAAGTCCTTTGGCTGTTGATGAATTTGAGGCAGCCCAGGGCGCTGGCGGGGATCATGGACCCCTGCTGTACGTGGTGTATTATATTTGGTTGCATCGACCGTGATGAACCAGTCAGTAGACCGACACAGGTGTGTGTTTCGCGCGTGTATTTAAAAAATGTGCGTGGACTACTTAAGCGTGCAAAGACTGGTGGTATGACACCGCAAGCACGTCAGTGAGTCCAGCAGTAGCCGCCTTGACCCATGACGCACGGGTAAGTAGTGGGCGAATGGTAGGCGCCGACCTGGCATAGGTCCGTCCATGCTTGTGTGTGCGTGTGTGTCCCGATCAATGGATAGATCTGGGGCGGGTTACGCGGTAAAGACGAATTGTCTCTCGCCCGGCGAGGAAAAACTCAAATGAAAAACCGTTCTTGGATTCATGTCTAAGACGACGTTTAAAAGCATACAAAAAAGAGAAAAAAAATGCGATCGGATCACCTTGATTTTTTTTTCACCGCGTTGCCGATTTCTCCATTTCTCCTCGGCAATCGATTCCGCTTGGCCGATTTAGGGGGGGTAGAGCCAATCAGAAAGTTGATCAGACAAACACTCGACGTGGGAATCGAGAATCCAAAATCCCAGAATTTTTGAAATTGCTCAGCTACTGTCAGCTTTTGGACAGCTGAAAGTCCATTGCAAAGCAAAACTGGGACATTCCAATAACATATTTGTGATCCCCACCGCAAAATTACCCTAATAATTCGAAGTCAGGAGAGATTTAATCAACATGTGGAAAGTGCTGCGGGAGGGGGGATATTTTGGTGTAATTCCTAGTAATTCTAGGTTATCCCTGCTTTTGCGCATATATATCAGTGCGTAGCTGTATCATCACGGCCGCATCGATCCTGATATCGAAATTCTGACGACGGATTCTTGATCTACACATTACTCTGACCTGAAAATTTTATACGATTCGGAGGTGTTTGCATCTTGCTCGGGGAGCCCGCAGACGCGGTTTTCACCCAAATTTACCCACCCCTTCATCAATACCGCCCCCCCCGGTGTTTGCCATCGGGGTTGGGTTTTCGTCGCTTGGCAA